CGACACTATGTCTCCGCCAGCACTGGTTACTGGGTGGCTATGTGGCCCGCTTACCTGATGACCGCTGGGCTCGACGAATTTTGGACTGGCGCCCCCCGGGCCGCAGGAAGTTGGGACGACCGACCGACACTTGGGAAAGCAAATTCGAAGAGTTCTGTCGAGCGTCTGATTTGGGAAATTGGAAACCAGTTGCGGCCGATGCGGTATTTTGGAAGAATATGACAGATGATTTCGTCGGATACTGCCTGAACCGATAAAATTGTGCAAGTCTCACAGTTTGCCGTTTCACCCTGCCTGCGCCCTAAATGGGCTGCCCCCCCCGGACATGCAGGCGCAAAGTCAAAGTCAAAAGTAATGCATGAAAGCGTGTTCTGCAGCAATGATCAGTATGTCGTTTGGGCAGCTTTGGTGTGTCGTTGCCGATTTGGCAGTTGCACGTTTGTGTTTTCGCAAGGCGAGCGCATTCAGCTGATAGATGTGGCGGATTGTTGTGCACCCGTCCGTAGCAGCTCTTGAACACCTATATGCCCGCTATGTTTTCACAGTAGTGCTTCGGAAGTGAGTCCCAGCCAGCACACTCACTGCCTGCGCACTTTTGGGCAAAGCTAGCCAGCCTTGTAAGGACTACCTTGAGTTTGCTTTGCGAAGCAATTGGGCTGGATTGGTCGATCAATGTCTAACACCTCCCTCCCTCCCATGTGATGATTCATTGGCACATCAATTGTTTTACACCCCCCTCCCCCTCCACTCCCGTCCGCTCCCCTCCCCATCTGCTCCCCTCGCCAGCACTACTAGCATTCTGGACACACCATCACACCATAAGGTGAAGGCATGCGCTTAGCAGTCACAGCAGTACGACGTGAGGTTGCGCAATGCGGCTTCGATGCCGCGCGTTCACAGACCATATTGCTCGACACCAACGAGCATCGATGCAACACAGCCTCTCTGCAAAGCGCTGTGGAGAAACCTCTCGCTTCGCGGAGCACCATTCGACTCAGCCTTATACCCTAGCGTGGCGACATCTTACCGCATCGTGGAGCACCACGACACAGTTATTTACGCACCCTTCCCACCAGCCACCCACCATAGCGTGACGTCCATCCCTCGCAGTGCCGGCCGCACCCTTCCAGCACTATCCTTACAAGGGGGTTGGTCACTGCGGCTTCGACGCAACGGGTGCAGGCCTGTTAATCCTGACACAGTGCGTGCAGCTGTGGGACCATAGCTGGTACACGTGCGAGCGTTTCACATTGCGACTTTTACGCCGAGCGTCGACGCAACGCAGCCTCTCTGCAGAGCCGTGTGGCGCAATCTGACTGCAACGGTGTTCCTTTTGAGCCTCCTTGTGCTCTTTGGCTTTGTTGGTTCCACCCATGATTGACCAAAGGGGAACGTTCTTGAAACACCGGAGGCAGTCCCTCACCAGAAAAGGTCCCGACAGCTACCCGGTCCGTTTCTACCTTTCGTGTTTCTCCGCTCAAACTTTATCAACATTGCGTGTGCCATTTTGAAGTCCCGTAGGTCGACCCCACTTCTTTGAACACCAATTGTCAAAAACAACGTCCCGGGAGCGAATGCCAGGTACAGCTACAAGATTTAACAGGTTCCGAATGGGATTATTTCAGGGGTTAGAACCTTGAAGGCAACATCGGGTAAACCCACCGGATTTTTATTGAGAGTTGTGGTCCTGGAACACGTCGATGGCCCGACATTTGGAGCGTGCCGTGGGCGAAGGCTCGCAGTTTTTGATTTCCGTTGGTTGCATTTTTTGCCTACATATCTTTGACGGCATCCCTGCTCGGTCCTTGTATGACAGGCTATATCATAGAAACAGAACCAACCGCAGCAACATTGCAATCAAACGTAAGAAGCTTGTGGCCGGAAACCTTGGTTTCTACTAAGGCTTTGCGCTTCGTTGTAAATGGTTGCAAGCTTGGTCACACGATTTGTTTAAAGATAGTGGATGTTTAGTGTTCCTGGTCATTTTCCTGCAGCCACGTTGGGGCACAAGATGTTTCAAAAAACATATCCAAAAAAGGAGCTTTGGTACCCAATGGCGACTAGAAAGCCACCTGGCAACGGCTGGATTTTAATAAATAAAATCCTGTAGATCAGCCCTCGCTGCCGGTAGCAATTATTTTTAAACATGTTTTGGGCGTGCAATTTTTCGTGTGTTCTATTTTCCTTTGTGGTCACTGCTACAACATGGAAAAACCTACGGACGCTGTCCTTGCAGCGGGGCAAACAAATAGAAGACGCCACAGTCGCAGTACGCCTCCCTATACCTTGCGTGAAAAAACACTTTTGGCCACGCGGCTCAAGCTTGAGCACAGCGGGTTTCAATTCAAACGCCCAGCGGTTCTCATCCGCAGCACGGTTGATGCATTTGGAAAGGAGCATGGTTGAATTCAGTCGTGTTCATGTGATTAGTTCTGGACATCACGTAGGGGAAAACCTGCCAAAATTGGCTGTTCCTTGAGTTGAAACCAACAGCTCAGGACCACCATGGCCTCAGACTCGTCGCGCGCTTTCCTGGCAGCACAGCCAAGTAAGGATTTGGAAAGGGGTGGAAGTTTCCGCAAACCATGCACTCCTGTCCAATTCGCCAATTCATGGGAACGAAATCATGATATGATATGTTTTCAGAACACGACGTTGTGGAGGCGTGTGTTTTCCCAGTGTTCTAGTCTTCTTACGAATTTACTATCTATGCGCTGGAGGTATTCTTATTTAAGGATTAGCAGACATCGCATAGACATCGCAATGTCGCCAGCGTCGCCGACATGGACGGAACAGAGTTTCCGAGAGGGGGGGGGGGTCGACGAAAAAAACAGGAATTGGTGGCCTTGATTTGAGGCAGCACCAATTTTTTCTTTTTTGGCCGACCCCCCCCCCAAACGGAGAGCGTACTGAAGAATCAGAAAGGAAAATGCGCAAGGACAAGGAATAGGACAATCCTGATGAGACCTCATGTGTTGAAGGGGATTTATGCTGAAAGGTCCAAATGGGAGACACAGATTCTGAAGCATCAGCAAAGCACAACAGCAGATGAGAGAACGCAAAGGAGTGGATTGAGCAAAGGGAAAAAAGCATCAGGTGGGAACCACATGAGAGTAGGGCATCAGGTGGGGGTGCCAAGCAACAATTCCCCCACTTGGTTGGTGAGGTTAAGACATGGTTGGAAAGGGAAAGGAGTTATGGGCATGGGGTGCAGAAGATGGATCTTGCATGGAAGTATTTTCAGCTGCTATCAGTGGAGAAAGTCAAGCTTGAGGAGAAAAGGGATGAGCTGGAAGATGGGCCCCAGAAGATTCTTTGTATCAATCAATTGGAAAGGGCTGAATCCCAAATGAAGAGCATCAAAGAGGGGTATAAGCAAAGGGACAAGAGGGCCAAAATGCTTATGGATGCTACTGGTGCCAAACATATGACTCCAAATGCGTTGGCGCCCTTGAGCAATGAGGAGCAGCAGATTTCAGCAGAATTGGCATGGAACCACCATGACTATATCATGAGCCTTGTGCCCATGGGGCATGAAGAGGATCTTGCATGGAAATATTTTCAGCTGCTATCAGTGGAGAAAGTCAAACTTGAGGAGAAAAGGGATGAGTTGGAAGATGGGCCCCAGAAGATTCTTTGTATCAATCACTTGGAAAGGGCTGAATCTGAAATGAAGAGCATCAAAGAGGGGTATATGCAAAGGGACAAGGGGGCCAAGATGCTTATGGATGCTTTTGGTGCCAAACATATGACTCCAAATGCGTTGGCGCCCTTGAGCAAGGAGGAGCAGCAGATTTCAGCAGAATTGGCATGGAACCACCATGACTATATCATGAGCCCTGTGTCCATGGGGCATGAAGATCTGAAGGAATTTGTGGCAAAGCCTGAATGTATGGTTGGATTCTCAGATCAGGTTCCTGTATGGGTGAAAAAGGGATCAACTAAGGCTGTATTTGCAGGCCATGAGACCAGGACACATGGGAAGACCATCAAAAAGATTAGGAGGGACCTTCAAGATGAGCTGAACCAACAAGCCCATGAGACAGGAACCCAATGAGGACATTGAGGCATTGGATGATCAGACGAAGCAAGATTGGCAATTGGTGACCACTGAGGATCAAAAGGATGGGGAAGAGCTCATTGGACTATCATGACGGACTCAGCAACTGAGAAGATGAGGATTACCTTTGAGGCCCATCAGCTGGTAACCCTGATGAGGACCCCTGTAATGATTCACCATTGGACACCATGATTCCATGTTGACTCTTGACCAGAGCGCATTCCGCCATCCTGTGATGGCTCAAGATCCAACGCCCGCTGCGCCCCCTAGAAGAAACAGGGCGAGCCGCTGGGTAGGTGGGAAACGTCGTCAGTTGGTACCCGGAGCCATGGTTGATGCTGCGCTACCTTCCCCCTCTCAGCGGCCCCGAGAAGGTAGCGGCAGCGCGGCTTGGGAGTGGCGCTCACATTGGTGGCGCCCATGGAGACGAGATGACGACGAGGCATGGTGGACGAAGAGCACGGCAGCTCCGACGGCTGGCGGTGAGGAGATGAACGGGGTCTCTTCCTCTCCGGCGGGTCCGTCAGAGCCTGCTCAGGATCCGGCTACGACGACGACTCCACCGAGTACCTCCATGCCTACGACTATGTCCGAGGGTACGGCGGCGGCGGGGGCTACATCGCCGACTCCTCGGATTACCAGAACGGATGATGCTACAGCGACCTGTCCATCAGCTACCAGATCACCTACGGATCCATGGTCGAGTGGGGACCCCTGGTCGAGAACTTGGGCGAGTAGTCAACCGACTACAAGGGATTCTGCAGTTCCAGGAATTGGCAGCTCCTCCTCGGCGGTGGCTTGGACATGGCAAGATTGGCAATGGCAACCTGGCTGGAGCTCAGGCGGATGGCAGCGGTCAGACTGGTGGCACCGCCCTCATGACTCCAACCCGGTCTACAAGGGCGACTTCAGCGACCCACCTGGTTGGCCCGGATGGGCCATGCGGCGCTACTGGGTGCAGTCCATCCAGCGCTGGAACAAGACGACAGACCTGCCGGTGCACAAGCGGGCCGACAAGGTCCTTCGAAGCTTGGGTTGGGAACTCCAATCCGAGTTTGAGCACCTTCCCGAGAGCGTGCTTCAGTCCTCGGCATACTTGGATGTCATCGTTGAGATCATGAACAACAAGGCTGGAGTTCGCGAAGATGATGAACGACGCCGAGCGTATCGTTCGGCTATCACGGACCTCCAACGCCATCGTGACGAGAGTCTGGCCCAGTTTGCTGTGAGAAGGATGAGAGACTTTGCTCATGCCTCTCAATACGGTGTGATCATTCCGGACCCCTTCAAGGCGACGCTTCTCCGTGAAGGTGCCGGACTGAATGATCAGAACCAGCAGAACTTGTCCACCCTCCTTCAAGGCCAAGATGAGTGCCCTCAAGCGGTTGCTCGAGCCCTGAGCCGTCTGGACGTTCGTTCCGATCGGATGACTGGTTTTGCGGCAGGCGAAAACGCTCCCGAAGAGGACACGGGTTCCTATCTCGGCCACATCCCTGAGGATGAAGAGTCGTTGGACGAGGATGACATTGCCCACGAGCTGGAGGCTTTGGACCTCACGGAGGACCAGGTGTTGGAAGTGTATGCAGTGCTGGATGCAAAGCGCCAACGTCCTCGCAGCTGGAAGGAGAACAAAGAGTTCAAGGCCGAGCTGAAGAAGGATCGCGGGGCCTTCGTCAAGGGTGGCCCTGTCGGAGCGGGTGGCCGTGAGCGTCGCGGTGAACTTCATCGCAGCGGCCGGACAAAGATGAACAAGGAGCAGTTGAAGAAGATCTCCAGGTGCCGCATCTGCATGAAGAAGGGTCATTGGGCCGAAGACTGCGACGCCAACAAGAACAAGAAGCCGGTGGTGGCCTTTGCGTACAGCTCGTCCCTGCAGGGTGGTGCCTCGGCTTTCTCCTTCATCACCTTCCAGGCTCTGTACGAGGCCGTGCGAGAAGTGCAGTTCAAGGAGGATAAGAGTCTCCCGAGTTTTCTGACTCTGCCTTCAGGTGAAGCCATTCTGGACACTGGTGCCACTCAAGACCTGATCGGCGAGGTGGCTCTTCAATCCATTGGCATTCATTTAAAGTCCCTTGGCCTGAAGCACATCGCAGTGGATGCCCCGACTTCAGTACCTATGGGTATCGGCGGGGCTGCTGAGGTTACTGGAGTAGTGCTGCTTCCCATCTCCCCCGGGGGTTGTCCCGGAGTTCTCGAGGTGACCGTGCTGAAGGGAGGGATCCCTCCTCTGCTGAGCATCGGGTTCATGGACTTCCTGGGAACCTCCATCGACTTGAAGAAGAACGAAGTCCATTTTTCCTTGTTGGATGTTAGTTTGCCTCTCAAGCGACTGGCGTCGGGGCACCGCACCCTGAACCTGTTTGACTGGGAGAAGAATCGTAGTTTCCCCGTGCCTTCGGAACTGGTGAAGAAGTACCAGCTGTCCGAGGGTGACTTCAATCTTGGATCCTCCTCCGCGTACACAAAAGAAGCTGTTCACTCCGTGAGTCGAGAGTTGCAGCTTGGTAGCCAAGAATCCAGTGATGAGCTCAACAGAAAACTTGAGGAACAGAGATTGAGTCAGAGCTTGGAAACTTCTGCCGTACCTGTTTTGCAACAGTCTCATTTACCTTCTTGCGAGTTGTTTACACCCATGTCATCAGCTTGCACGTCATGCTCCACATCTTGTACCACACCTCGCACCATGATCAGCGGACATGTACTTGCAGTATGCCCTGTGCTTCACGATCCCGTTGCAGATTGTGCATGTGGACCGCCGCAGCTTTCAGGCTCGACATCGCCTATGGGCAATCGTTCACCTCGTGAAGCCAAATTCGACGCCACCTCCCTTCCTACTCACGATGGACTCTCGCCGGAGCCAGGGAGGTGCTGCAGCCTCGGCCGAGCGCTGGGAGGCTCTGATGGGCCATGTGATGGATCGGTGGGAGGTCAACCGCAGCAACTACAAGAGGCTGATTCGGGCGGAGCTGACCGCCAAGAGCACGGCCAGCAATCGGAAGAAGTACATCGAGGCCGAGTGTCAGGCGCCTGGCCGATGCCACTCAGATCGCATCACGGGCCAACCAGTACGCCTCATGGACGGTGTGCCTGCAGTGCAATGCCAGGCTGACCTATGCCTCCAAGAGTCGTCGCGGCACAGCTCCTTCGCATCCGAAGGCAAAGGGAAGAGCCTTTCAGGCTCCTCCGGAACCCGGATCACCGACGTCGGCCTTCCCGGAGAGCGGGTATGCGACTACGAGTACGATGGCAAGCACCCGGGCACAACATCCGCTGGTGAGCAGCGGATCTCAGGAGGCCAGCCTCATCCTGGAGCAGGCCATCAACTCCATGAGCGTGCAGAACTCGCAGTTGGCAACGACTCTGGGCGAGATCAACCACTCCCTCCAAGAGCTGGCTCGGGGACAGGGCCAGATGATCATGATGACTGCTGGAATGGGAAACCCTCATCAGGCGCCGGTCTATCCCATGAACATCCCGCCGGGAACTCAGCAGACTCAGGGTCCGATGAACCTGGACGCGGACTCCGACCTTTGGTCCAACACCGAGCCGGGATGGGACCTGCAGACCGTGGCTGCCAGCCCGGAGAGCAACGAGACCACCTCTCCTCAGGAGAATCCCAACGAGCAGTCTCCGGATCGCGAGTGAGGAGGCCATGGCCTTCGTGGATGCTGGCTACAGGCGCGACCTGGGCGGGCCTGACCATCAGCTGGCAGCAGACATCCCAGGAACTGCAGGGCTGTTTGGCATCCTTCAATTTGAATGAGGAGTGCATCATTTTCAGGTATGACTTGACCGGCCCTGAGCAGGCCCCTGGCCCTGAGCAGGCCCTCGTGCTGAGCCCTGAGCAGGCTCCTTCTGGCTATGACGGCCCTGAGCAGGCCTGTATCATGAGCCCTGAGCAGGCTCCTGGCGGTCCCGTGCTGAGTCCTGAGCAGGCTCCTAGCGACTACGTGCTGAGCCCTGGGCAGGCTCCTGGCGGCAACTTCGAGTTTGTGGATGACAAGTCGCTGGAATCGAGGATGGCTTTCTCGTGGGCTGCTGCAACTATGAACCCTGACGGATTCGGGGATGAAGAACGCGTACACCTGAGCTCTATGAATCCCGCCGGGACGGGAACTGGACCCTGGCCTCGATGGATGCCCTCATTCATGCAGATTCACCGCAGCACTCTAGCTCCCGGAGAGCGACTACATCCTCGAGATCATGAATGTGTGGCATGGAGGCGTGTCAGCGAGAAGGACTCGGGACATGTTCTCTGGAATGGGCCGGTCGCCGAGACCTCACTGGAGTATGTCAACTCTCACTCCCGGGAGGTCATGGTGAGTGAGTGGTGGTGCCCTGGTGGATTCTACCGAGCATTGCAGATGGTGGACTTCAACGCCCCGATCATCGGGTTCGACCACCAAGGAAAGGAGTCTTCCCTAGGACCTTTCTGGGCCGGACGCTCAGGCTCCATTTTGGAGCAAATTCATGAGGACCAAGAGGAGATCCCAAATGCTGGCCATCAGACCGAGCTGCAGAGATGTCATCACCGCCTCAATCTACTTGCGAGGCATGCGAGAAGGGAACACCATTCCAGTGTGCACGACTTAGACTTTGTGGAGCTCTTCTCACCTCCCCGTGTGATTCCTCATGCTCAGAGAGCTGGATTGAAAGTCGATAGCTCACACGTCTTTGACCTCCAGCACGGTTGGGACGTGCGCAAACTCTCCCACCGGAGGGCGTTTCGGCAGTATCGGAAGAAGCATCGCCCTCGGATGATGATGGCATCCCCGGCTTGCAAGGCCTTCACACGCCTGAGGCATATCTATCAGGAACGCATGGATCCTGAGACTTGCCGGCGAACCGTTGCAGAGGGACATCTAATGTGGAACTTCGCCATGGAAGCATGCGAGGAACAGATCGCCGATGGCAACTTCTTTGGATTGGAACATCCCCGCTTGGCAGCTTCGTGGCGGCTCCCTCGCACTCAACGTCTTCTACGAAGAGACGATGTGGTCCTTATGAGCTTCGATCAATGCTTCTTCGGACTCAGTGTCGTACCCTCGGGAACCTTGTCTCGGAAGTCTACCTGCATAGCCACTAACAACCCCTGGCTTGCATTGGAGCTGGTGAACGCCGTGTGCCGAGGAGATCACGACCACGAGACACTGATCGGGGGGCTTCCACGCAAGGCACAGGAGTATCCCGCCGAGCTATGCTCAGCCATTACCCGCGGCGCTCAAGCAGTGGCTCTGGGCCTGAATCCACCCTCTTTCCTGGAGAGTGCCGAGGTCTACGAGCTCACCCGCCCTGGATGTTGGTTTGGAGAAGAAGAAGAGGAGGCTGAGGACGAGACGAATCCTCCTAATGAACCTGAACAGTACACCACTCCGGTGTCTGACTCTCAGCGTCGGCTGGTGCAGAAGGTCCATGTGAACACGGGTCATCCTGACCGCCTACGCATGCTCCGTGCGTTCAAGGCTGCCGGCGCCCTTCCTCAAGTGCTTCGCTACATCCGGGAGGAGTTCGGCTGCGAAGACTGTCAGCTGAAGAGGGGACCAGACAATCGGAGGCGAGCACAACTACCAAGGACCTTCTGAGTGCTGTGCGCCGACTTCCTGTTTATCCGGTTCAAGGAGTGCCAGATCCCCATCATGAACCTCACCTGTGCCGGGACCAGCTACCAGATAGCTGTTCGCTGCCGGGAGACCAAGAACGGCGCGCCCACCTCTGCTGCTGCCTGGAGGCTCTTCATGGATTCCTGGGTTCGCTATTTTGGAGCACCTCATTTGCTGGTGACGGACTCAGGCAATGAATTCCGGGGAGCATTTGAGAGAGGATTGGAGTTCCAAGGCATTCTTCAGCACGTGATTCACCCGGAATGTCCGTGGCAAAACGGCAAGGCAGAGCGCCACGGAGGGTGGCTGAAAGACCGCTTAGACAGTGAACTGCAGTCTGGCCGGTGCATCTTCACAAACCTCGAAGAGCTCGATGAGTTTATCGCAGCCATCCTGTCCACCAAGAACCGTTGGCTGAACAAGGGAGGTTTTACACCGGCCCAGCTCGTCTTCGGTGAGCTGCCAAGGATTCCCGGTGAGCTTCTGGCGGAGGATGAGCTAGGACTACACGGCCTCCATGATGCTCATGAAGATCCTGCCGAAGTTGACGAAGCCGCAGGAGAGTACCGAAGAAGGCATCAGATCCGGGAACGAGCTCGGCAGCTGGCGATGACTCAAGCCAGTCGAGAAGCCATTCGCCGCTCCCGGCATGCAGCTCCTCAGCAGCAACGCCATTGGGCACCTGGCCAGTGGGTTTATGTCTTCCGCCGAGCCCGAGGCAATCAAGATCTCCATCTTCGTGATCGCTGGGTTGGGCCAGGAGTGGTGGTGGTAGCCAACAATGACACCATCTATGTCGGGATGCGAACCAGGTTGTGGCGTTGCTCACCTGGTCAACTTCGAGCCGCTCTCCCAAGTGAAGTGCTGGGTCGTGAACTGGCCACCAGTCCAGGGTTGAGTGAACTTCTACGGCAAGTGGTTGCGGGCACTCATGCCGGAGCAGTAGATGTGCAGCGTGAGGGACTGCCTGGACCCGAAGATAGGTTAGGCCCGGTGCATCGCATTGAGGAGGGAGTTGCCGCCGCATCAAGTGCTCCTTCGCAACAACGGGCTGTCCTTCCATCACCGCAAGAGCTGATTCCTCCGACAGTTGAAGCTATCCCTCCTGGATTACTTCCTCTTGGTCATCATCGCGGAGAACGAATGCCCAGTATAGCTGAAGAGGAAGAGCGCCCTTCTAACGATCCCACTATGGAAGAGCTGCCTCACCTGTCGAGAAGAAGCTCAGTGAACGAACCGGCATCAGAACCGGGTGAACAGCCTCAGGCATCTGGACCAGGACCTCCTGCACTACCTGATGACCCCAGCGCTCCTGCGGAACCTCCGCTGAAGATGGTGAGGACGACATCGCCTGAGCACGTCATGGAGAGTGATCCTCCCTCATCTTCACAGCCGTCTTCTGCCGCAGCTGTCGAACCAGCGCCGGCCGGAACTCGGGCTCCTGGAACGCCCATTGCGGATCTGATGAGGAGAATCCCTCGGGCTGTTTCTCCGCCACCTGGACTAGCTGAACCTCATGAAGGCGCTCACCTCACGCCTGTGGAGGAACTCCCTCAGCAGAATCGAGTTCCCACCCAAGTGGAGGAATTCAATCGACTTGCCCAGCGCCGAGATCACGATCATGCAGATGACCCTGAGCTGTGGGGCGAACACTGGTTCCACATCCCTCAAGACGCTTCGGTGCTATGTCTGGAGCTTTCAGGCGAATGGGTGCAGCTGCCGAAGCGAGGTGGAGAGATCTCACTGAAGGAACTGAGCCTACAGGAGAAAGAGCAGTTCGACAAGTCCGATGAACTGGAATGGTCAGCGGTGCTGGGCACTGGAGCAGTGAAGGTGATCGTGGGCAAGGCGGCATCGAAGGCCCGCGAGAACTGGCCAGACCGGATCATCTCCTCACGGATGGTCAGAAGGAAGAAGCCTCAGCCGGAGCTAAACGCTTGGAAGGCCAAGAGCCGGTGGTGCATTCACGGCCATCATGATCCTGACACAGGCACTCTATGCACCTACAGCCCTACTCCATCGACAGAGGGCCTGATGACCTTCCTACAGACTGGTCTCAACTTCGGCATGAAGTTTGCCTTCTCCGATGTCAAGAATGCTTTCTGCCAGAGTGACAAGCTCAACCGACCACGTGGTCCGCTGTTTGCTGAACCATGCGAAGGACTCCATCTTCCTGAAGGAGCCCTCATTGAGATCCTGGTTCCCACCTACGGCTTGGATGATGCACCTCGAGAGTGGCGCCTGACTGTGACCCGGTTCCTCACCTCTCTGTCCTTTGAGAAGAACCTCGTCGAACCCTGCTGGTATACGCTGTTCTCGGACAAGCGAGAGTGCTTGGCGCAGGTGCTGGTGGAGGTGGACGATTTCATCGTGTGTGCTGCTCCTGATCACTATGACTGGCTGAAGTCAGAGCTCACCAAACGATTCCACTTCGGGAAATGGGAGGAGGACGAAGCCGAGTATGCGGGTCGCCACATCCGGGTGATGTCAGACAGCGTCCACGTGGACCAGAGCAAGTACATCCAAGAGCAGGTGAAGCCAATACCTCTAGCCAAAGGTCGCCGATCTACCCCGGATGACCTCCTCTCCAAGGAAGAGTTCAACCTTCTGCGCTCCCTGGTCTTTAAGATCAATTGGCTGGCTCGCGAAAGTCGCCCTGAAGCCTCAGGTTTAGCATCCCTCATGGCAGGACGACTACCCAATGCTCAGGTCAATGACGTGCAAGTGATCAACAAGTATGTCAACTTCCTACGATCCACCCACGACCGGCCTCTAAAGATCTGGCGCTTCCACCCTGAGAATATGTGCTTCGTGGTGTGCAGCGATGCTGGCGGCATTAACATGAAGGGCGTCGACCAAGTTGATCACGAAGGTCTACCTCTGGATGCGACTCAGGGAGCATGGATGGTGCTGGCTGCTGAACGGCTGCCGGAAGGGAACAGGGCAGTGAGGGCTTCGCCTATCACCTGGCGGTCTTCACGGCTGAAGCGGAAGGTCTTTTCGACCTTTGGAGGAGAGACCCAAGCCATGCTGCAAGGGGTCAAT